GCTCCGGGAATGGAGAGACAGCCGAAAGCTGCTGGGCCAGAGGCACCTGGTCATCCGTCCCTGACTTCTGAGCTTGGGCTAAAGGGGAAACCCGGCTACCCACATGTCTCCTTGTAAAAACAGTAGCCCGGCCACTGCTGAATCCACTGCCTCGCCAGAGATGTCATCTTTGAGAGCTCCAATCTCCTCTGAAATGCTTGCATTTAGGAAAAAATAAATGTTTCCTGCTGTACTTGACATTTTCTTATTATCTACGCATGTTTAATCCCTCTTCGTGTCCTGCTGATCTTCTGAGAAAGCAATTTAGAGGCTTTATTCTGAGGGAAATAAAAAGTTAGCAGGTTTTATTAGTACTTATACCAGGGCATGTTACTTTTGATTGTTAGGAAAGGCAAATGGGAATATTGCTGCTGACTTTAACTGTGCAGTCTTTGAGGTTGTAACTTTTGTTTGCGCACTTAAATCGTGCCTCTGCTTTTGGGTCTGCCTTGCTGCAGCTGCTTGTGTCTCTGTTTACAAAGCAGTGACTCTTGCAGATGGTCAAAAGGACTTTGGTCGTTTGCACTTTGGGTTGTTCCCTGCCTGATGTGTGTGACCTCAGTGCAAAGCCAACGTCGATCGTCCACTGAACTCAGTGGCATGACTGTAGCTTTGCCCCAGAAAAATTAAGAAAACTATTTCTTTAAATTGGTATTTTGAATCTGTTTCTCAGGGGGACTCTAGACCTACTTACCTCTCTCTGCCTCAGGCCAGATTGCTTTTCCTGATCTATATGGCATATAGTCTTGATCTCTTGGTGCCGTTTAGATAATTATACTCATTAACAGACCTCAAGGAGGTGTCAGATTAATTTTGATGGAATAACTAGGCTTCATCACAGGACATCACCATGGCCCTGTCACCGTGCAACATGAAGGAGTTACACAAGGGTCAGTGGTGTGAACAGAGAGACCCTACAGCCAACCTGCTTACCACAGCAGAACACGAGAGGTAATTCATGCCACTGGTGGAAATAGTTACTTGCAAAGCAGAGGGCTGAAGTTCAGCTGATTTGGATCACAGACCTTGACTGCCGCCTTCTTTTCTTCACGTGTTCGTTTCAGGCATGTGTAAGAGCAGCACCGGGCTGCAGGCTCCTGTAGCCCACGTCGCTTGGGTCCCAGGCTCTAGTGCAAACCTCGTTTGGATCTGCGCAGAGCCATGAAACACCGCGCCGGTCAGTTTAAAGAAACCGCTCTCTAGGACACGAAACAGGTAATTTTTTGGTAATGCCCTACATAAAATATTTTGCAGTTGGAACAATAGGAGACGGGAAAAGCTTTGAGATAATTACAAACTGCAATTTCTGACTCAGATCAGAGAGAAAACTCAAGTATAACTTCATGCAAAAGGATTTTCTGTAAAACCAGAAAGATTTGTTTTGATGCTAAAATACTGGCTGCTGTTCAAAATGACCGCTAGAAAAGAGATTGGTTGCTAGTAAGTCTCCATTGCTTTCTGGACCACCTCCTGTAGACTTAATGTTCACTTAATATTAACATCTCCAGGACTGCTCCATGGAGATACGTGCACGCAGGCTGGAAATCTTGAATCACACACTGTATTGTTTGTCAGATGCAGGCAAAGGAGGAAAAATACAGTGACATAGACATAATTTAGAAACCACAGGTCTTGTCACACCTAACCTATGCTCATATCTCTGCTGTAGAGCAAGATACTTCAGGTTGGATGGTGATGGTTTTGCTAAATGCAGTCACAGCCGTCTTGACCTGTTGAAACATAATAGAAGCCATTGTTTCCCATACGTTCTTCATATATAGCAGTTCTCCCAGGCAGTGGGGGAGACAGAGCATTTGCTTCACTCAGGAAGCTAAACCTGCTGTGCGCAGGTGGGGTGAGGGATGGGACGGGGTCTGAGCATCCCAGGAGGATGGAGCCAATACCAGGGTGATTTAATTCCCTGATATACCAACTTAAGCAGTCCAAGGAACTGACCTGCTTGTGTTAATATAAAGTGTTTTTTAACTTCCAAAATTTTCCCTATTCACCTGAAAACAAGAAGGAAATTGGTGGTTTTAAGAGAAAAATGGCCTCAGCGAGATGAAGCTGGTCGTCTCTCTGTCACCCTTTCCCTTGGCGTTCTTTCAGTAAATGCCAACCTTGTAATGTATTGCCAAGCTTGGGTGCTTGGGACACCGAGGCTGCACCTGTGCAAATGCATCTTTTCCAACAGCCCCCCCATTGCACCATGGGCTCCCGCTGGCATCTGGGGCAACTCTTCCCTTCTTGAGCTCTGAAGGAGAAAAAATTAAAGACAGGGCCATCAGATGAGACACCTGTGTGCACTCCCACATGTTTGCTGAGTTTACCTGGAGAGGGGAGTTTGGGGAACTGGTGCTATACTGGGGAAAGACTATTGGAGAGTGAAACAGGGAAGAAATGGGATTGCAACAGATGATGGGGCACAGTCCTGTACGGAGAGGGAGGCTGAGACTCCTCCACTGCACCTGGTACGGGGGCTTGCATGGCTCTGCAGGGCTGGGGGTCGTGGTAAGCAGCTGCAGCTGGGGCGAGTCTCCGGAGCGGCGTGCAGCACGTTACCTGGATGGCTCCCTCCTACACGCGGCTGGGGAGGCAGAGGGAGCTGAGACACCAAACTGGGAACGCCCAAGGTGCTCCTGGTACGATCCGGGTCCTTGCAAGCCCCCTGCCCAGTCACTTCCACAAATACCTCTGTGGGTGATTGCAAATGTTTCATCTGAGAAAAAAAGAACACCATTCCTTCCCATTCCAGATAAGCCCAAATTTGCTTTTGGTGATTAAACCGACGACAAAAGCTAGTATTTTCCAACTTTCACGCAGTCAGAACCAAATGGACTTTGCTCCAGTAAGTGTGCGTTTCTTATCAAGGCCACAGCCTACCCATTGGGGGTAGGCAGGCACCTGCTGTAAAATGATACATGAACATATATGTGGTTTGCAAAATTTATAAAATATGTTTTACAATTTACATAAATTTACAAACATTTGCGTTGCCCAGACATGTGCGTGAGTGTTTATCTGTAGAAGGTATGCTGCTTCATACACGGACTGAAAAAAGAAGACGGTCTGGCTCTGGATAGGCAGTATGGTAAATACATGCCAGAACGTACGCTGGGAGGCTGCTCTCCCGGCCGTGCAGAACAGGGACCTCTGTAATTTTTTTTTTTTTAGATCTATTACCAGTGACCAAACCCAGAAACAAGTAAGAAGTAAATATGGTCAAGTCACATTAGTCTGATTCTACTGAAATCTGGTAAAATATGTTACGTTATGGTTTATTGCTCTTGAGTATTTCTGAAAAGGTTTTAATGGGTTTTAATAGAAAATTGTTCTCAATTACTTTCTTAGTTCAGTATTGGAAGGACTTTTGTACATGTTCTGGAATTCCTGTGACAGAGAAATGTCAGACCCTCGAACAGTCTCGTGAGAGCCAGCAACAGGAGTGAACCTCTTCTGCAGCTCTGTGGTCAACCTCAGAACATCGTCCTTTCCTGAAAACACTATTTTCAGGATATTCATGTGCTTCCTCCCAGGCCACTGAAGAACATGAGAACAGATGCAGAGCAGATTTTTGTATAATCTTTTGTGTGTGTGTGTGTATATATATACCCTCGAACAGTCTCGTGAGAGCCAGCAACAGGAGTGAACCTCTTCTGCAGCTCTGTGGTCAACCTCAGAACATCGTCCTTTCCTGAAAACACTATTTTCAGGATATTCATGTGCTTCCTCCCAGGCCACTGAAGAACATGAGAACAGATGCAGAGCAGATTTTTGTATAATCTTTTGTGTGTGTGTGTGTATATATATATGTATGCATGCGTATAATCTTTTGTGTGTGTGTGTGTGTATATATATATGTATGCATATGTATATTCTCACACAATTTTACATATGTAAATATAGTACATACATAATTAAAGCAATTTTTAAGTTAATCGCAAGACTACTGTGAGATATACATACAAGAAAAAATAGACCTGTGGAATACTCTATTTAAAGATAAAGTTAATATAAGTGGCAGAAGAAATGTGAACTTTTGAAATATTTTCAAAATTCATTAGTGAATCATTGCAAAAATGCATTTCACTGTGGGAGGAATTTCAGTAAACCAGGACTTCAGTTCTACTTGTTTCATGCTTTTGAGAATACCGACTGAAGTTAATGGGACTATTCTCATGGGTAAAATGAGCTGGATTTGGTCCCAGGAACACCTGGCTGGACTTTAAAATGAACTTAAACCTGCAACACAAAACCTTTTCATTGCTTAGAAAAGGGAATTTGAGCAAAAGGAGGGCACTAACGTGGTTTTGGGGGGTCTAGGCAGAACATTCCTGCTCGGAAGGCAGAGATCAAATTTCCATGAAATTTGCAGCTCTGGGGGTTGTAAACTTGGTTTGCTGTATTTTTAGATGGGAAGCCAGATCCAGTTCTTTGTTAAGAAAGGGGAAGGGAATGCCCTTCCCCCTGGTAAAAATTTCCCCATCCTAGTGCTCTAAAATAGTAGTTGGTGGGCCTGTGGGTTAATGGAATGAGTAACTGCAGCATTATACTCTTCTCACCAGGTTAATTTATGGAGATGAATAATTTTTTTGGCTCTGTGACCTTTTTGGGTTTGCTTTGATAATTTTTCTCTCTCTCAAAGTTTATACTAGATTTGTAACCAGATACACAGCACATTAATCTGTTACAAGGATGACTCAATGAACATTGTTGTTATTGTTTGGATCTCTTTCACCTAGAAAGGAGTGGGGGGTATGGACAACCCCCTTCTCACCTCAGCATGCCCTAGTGAGTCACCTAAACTCTGCAAAAGGTGAAACATCCAAATAATCTGACCCACTGTTGTGTTTTTTCTGAGCAGCTGACCCAGCGTCAAATTCGTGACTCATGGCCCCTCCAGCAAAAAGATTGGGAGCAGTTTCTGGGTCGGTGCAAGAGCCCCACAGGATCCAAAGAAGATGAAGATGGGAGGAACCTGGCTGCGTCTGCCGGTTGGACAGTACTTCCTGGCTCTGGGACACAGGCACTTTTCAAACAAATAGAGAAACATGGTATTTTAAAAAAAAAAACAACTATTGCTGTTATTCTCTTTCATCTGGCATGGGCACATATCTGCTGCTTCTCCACTCTCTGGCTTGTGAGAGCCCTGGTGGGTCTAAGTCATGGTTTGTAAGATGCTGAAAATGGGGAGGAGGTCTGAAGCATCAGCCAGGGTAACCTGGTATCAGTGGACATGCTTGTGTGGATTTCTGAGGATATGCTGGCTTGGGGGGCAGATTCAAGTAAGCAGGAGTGTGAATTTGATTGCCAGCAGAACATCTTGTGGGAATGATACTAAAAGAAATGTGTGTGGGCAAGTGCCCTGAAATAGGTAGCTTTCAATTAGAGACGACCTGGCTTTAAATCCCTATGCAGGGAGTTTGGTTTACAGCACTAAAAGGAACTAGATATATTTTTTTTTTTAATGTGCTGCTCCTTCTTGTTTCTTTCAGATGGATTTCAGAAAATTCAGGCTGTTTGTTTGCGCTTTAAATCCTATGCAGGGAGTTTGGTTTACAGCACTAAAAGGAACAAGATTTTTTTTTTTGTGCTGCTCCTTCTTGTTTCTTTCAGATGGATTTCAGAAAATTCAGGCTGTTTGTTTGCCTTGTAGGGCTCAGTTGTGCTAGCTTCTGGTTTTTTTACAACAGTTTGACCGAATTCTGTGTATTCTGTGGAAACAGCCAACATTACATATTCCTCACAGAGACTTCTAGGAGATTCAGCGGAAACTTCTTGCAGCTCCCAGTGCTGCTCCTTCTTGTTTCTTTCAGATGGATTTCAGAAAATTCAGGCTGTTTGTTTGCCTTGTAGGGCTCAGTTGTGCTAGCTTCTGGTTTTTTTACAACAGTTTGACCGAATTCTGTGTATTCTGTGGAAACAGCCAACATTACATATTCCTCACAGAGACTTCTAGGAGATTCAGCGGAAACTTCTTGCAGCTCCCAGATATAGACTGCCATAAGAACCCACCTTTCCTCGTCCTGCTTGTGACATCCTCGTACCACGACATCGATGCCAGGATGGCCATTCGGCAAACCTGGGGGAAGGAGAGAACAGTCGCCGGCAAGCGCCTGGTGACATATTTCCTCCTGGGAAACACTGTGAATCTCAGCCAGCAGGCTGGTATCACTGCTGAAAGCCAAAAGTACAAAGACATTATTCAAAAGGATTTTATAGACACGTATTACAATTTGACTTTGAAGACCATGATGGGAATTGAATGGATTCACAGATTTTGTTACCAGTCCAGCTTTGTGATGAAAACCGACACAGATGTGTTTGTCAATGTTTTTTACCTCACTGAGCTTCTTCTAAGGAAAAAGAGGACCACTAGAGTCTTCACAGGCTTTTTAAAACTAAATGAGTACCCCATACGGAGAAGAGGGAGTAAGTGGTACGTGAGTGAAGAAGAGTACCCGGGAAAGACCTACCCACCATTTTGTTCCGGGACTGGCTATGTTTTCTCCACCGACGTTGCTAGTCAGATCTATAATGTTTCGGATAATGTTTTGTTCATTAAACTGGAGGATGTATTCATAGGACTGTGCCTTGCCAAATTAAACATTCAGCTGGTGGAGCTCCATTCAGAGCAGACGTTTTTTCCAGAAAGGATTCGCTTCTCTGTTTCTCGCTTTAAGAAAATCGTGATGTGCCATAAAATAAAACCATCTGAGCAGCTGAGCTACTGGAATCAGTTAGTGACAGAAAATGACGGAGGAGTGCTCTAGCACCTTCCCTGCTCGAATTAACAAACTGAAATGCTCCGCAGTTACAGGGCTGCTCTTGACTCCAGCAGAACTCCCAATTAACTCTAGATCCACCACATTGAAGACTTTTTAAATGGTTATCTTAATCTCCATTTCTGCCCAAGAACATGCAAACCTCTTTCTTTCCCATTCACTCCCACCTTTTTGCATCCCTTCTCTACACAAGTTACAGTTATTATTTTTTCCTGAAGGATGCAGGCCTGCAAACCTGCCCTCCAAATCTCGCTGCTACAGGACTGGGAACATTCCTGCAGTGCCAAACTAAAAGTCAAAGAACTTTTGTTCAGAGAAGAAAATTTGCACCCTCTTCCTGGTCCCCCTTGATAGATTACTGCATTTGCACCCATCTGTGCAGGCATTTAAGAAAAGGTGTTTGTAGCTGTCAGGACGTTCCCCTCCTGGCATAGGGAACTGCAGCCCTGCCCTTGCAGCCAGCTCTGTGTGGGCAGAACTGCGTACTGGCACAGATCCCTCCTTCAGTCTACCCAAATTTTTTGCAGAGATGGAAGAATTTGCCCATGCAGCGCTCTTGGGACAACCTTCACCAGGTACTGCAGGTGAATGTGTAAGGCTACTGCATCTGTTTCCCTATACGTGCCTCCTGCTGAAAATGATATGTAGTGGAGCCGGATCCATGCTCAATGGAGAGTGTCCTGGTCTTTCTATTAAAATAGGCCCCGGAGACATCTTTTGCGTTTATGTCTCACTTTGATTGCTTGAAAGCTACTGTAAATGGTTTGCCAAGGCTGAACCAGAGTCACTTACAGTGAGATAAACAGTACCTCTGATTTAGACATTTTTCCCTATGAGGAACTGGGTGTGTAAGGGAGAAGACAGGAAGATTTTTCTCTTTTAAACAAGACCTAGTGGGAAAATGTTCCCAAGTAATCATTCAGGCTGGGAGCCTCATTTCTTATTTCATTACCAAGAAAAGACTCATGAAATCACTAGGATGTTTGTAGGTTTCAGAGATAAGGAATTGACTCTTTACAGTAGATGCTGTGAAAAATACATTTGGGCTATGAGGAGGGAGAAGGGAGTTCATAAAATCACGCCTCATGCAATACCCCTATTTGATTTACTTTCACGCAAAGAAAAGGTCAGTTTTACCAGCAAAGAAGTATCGAATGCCTATACTATGTGTGAAATGTTTTTTTTAGAGAGCGGTAAAAGTGGGGCGCTCCCTAGGGGAAGATGAGCCGGGAGCTGAGGGGATCCGACAGCCCCACACGCCCCACACGCCCACACGAGGGAGCAGGACAGACCCACACAGATGGTGGTCAGGTCCAACCAAGAGTCCCAATCATAAGGAAGTATCACGGTGATGAGGTAGGTCTGAGGTCAAGCCAGCGATGGCCGGGCCCTGGTGATGACAGGTGGGGGTCAGGATGAGGCCCAGTGAGGGGAACCAGGGCCAGACACTGCCCCGGGATGGCAGGGCAGGGCCTTGGGGATGGGGATATGTACTGAATGTGGTAAAAAGCATGGAGGAAAGACAGGGAAAGATATTTTATTACTTTGGGGTTATTTACTTTTATTGTTTCTTTTCTTTTTACTGAAGTTTGTGAGGATTGTCCAAGTGTCTCTTTTTACTTGCCTGTGTCTGAAGAGCAGGATAAATACTTTCAGCAGGAATATGTCCCATCCTGAAAAGTGTTTAATAACGGTAAAAAATATATTATTTAATTTCTTCTGATGTAACCTGAGCTCATGCACTTATTTTTGACAACTGATGATGAAAGAAATAATGTTTATTTGTTTGGTAGAAGAATAATCTTTATTTTAAGTTTCCCATTCAGCAAATAGCTGCGTATATGGTGTTTGCAGGGATATGGCTATCCAGGTGGGTCGGGTGGGTGACCAAGGAGGTGTTTGCCTTTCCCTAACACGTACCCTGTGCCAGGGGGTGGGCAGCCCAGCTCCGGGTTGAACAGCACCTCTCCGCCTCCCATCCCAACTTTGCAGCTGTATCTGCCCTTGGACTCAAAGCCCTGCTGTAGCACATCTACTTTTGCCGCTGCCTTCAGTAGGTGTGATGGGTCAGACTGATAAAGCCTAACAACAGCATTTTAATCACTGTTCTTTCCATGTAACCTGTAGATATGTCTTCTGGCCATTCATTGCTATTGTACCCAAGGTGCAAGCTGGCTATTGCTTTAGTTTGTGGAAAAATGTTGAGCATAAAGGAATGCTTCCTGGCCGCTCCTAGCTCCCTCTCTCGTGGGGTGGAGAGTCTGTGAGCTGGGACAGCATAATGCAGCCTAATGTTCATCCTGGCCTCTTCTTGTTCTCAGAGAAATAATCCTGCAGTCCCTTGTGGGTCTTACTTCCACCTCTATGCCTTATCCCAGCTGGCAGGACCAGTCCAACCGTGCAGTCCCCAGGGAGCCTGTATCTCTGCAGAATAGCTATTCATTTACATACGGATGTGTTGACTTGTTCACCTCCGCCAGGTGCTGAGCTCCGAGAAGTGTGGTGGCACCTGGGATGGCACAGCTGCTGGTCTTCTGTCAGGCTGAGTTCACGGCCAAAGGGTAAAGTTTCCCATTAGGAGACAGTATTTTGGGTTGCTTCCCTGAACGATGGCTGCTTGTGAGTGGCATCAAAATATGTCTTACCTGAGCAGTTTGTGGCTTTGTATCATCATAAAAAAAGTTACCCTTGAGGGCCAAGTTCTGCTAGACTTCTTGACTGTGGCATTTATTTTAGTTCAGGAGTGTTCCTAATTACTTGAATACGGCTACTAACGGGGAAGTTGGTGCTATTCTCTGTTAATCACATTTGCAGATGCTACCACTATATTTTTGGGGTTCAATTCATAGCTGCCGTGCCATTGGGAATAAGGTCCTCAGGCATGTTTTAAGAAACCATCCCATTCTGGATATTGTTTCCAGGGAGTCCATTTGTAATTTCAAGTGACCTGTGCAAGATGCCTCTCTTTATTACTGCATTCTAAATATTTTGTCCCCACTGAATATATGTTGTTAAGCGTCTTAATGCCTATCTATCTGAAGCATTTGGTTTATCACTGCTAAATCTCGGATGAGGAGCAAATGAGTACAGGTTGAAATGTTACGGATTCAGATAGCCTATTCCTCTCCTTTTTGCAAATTAGCTTCCCAAGTGAATGCTTTAGGTTGCCGCGCATTATTTTCCTCAACATATGATTTTCTTTGTGCTCACATAAATTAGAAATTGATTTCATAATTCTCTCCATTCAGTAGGCTGCTTTGAGTAAGAATATAGTAAATGAATAATTAATTACTTAAAATATAAGGTTATCCTGCTGGAAAAGGTGATTTAAGAGAAGTAGATGATTGCATGTAAGGCAAATTCATTTACTGAAACAAAGCCACTGTGCTAGTCAGTTTATACATATCATCTAAATGAAATTACCTTTTGCAGTTTAGGCCTCAAATCATGACTTTTAACATAATCAAAACTGTATTAGTGGCCTTTTGCCAAATTATGTGTATTTTCCTATGAAAGATCATCACAAAAAGATCAGAAATATAACTAGAACTGTAAACACAATACTGCAGTGTACATATACTTATTTTTAAAATTTTGTATAGGCTAATAAAAGAATTTATGCAATTTTGGGGCAGTTTATCTGTAAAAGTAGCGCACTATCCTAAAATTTTTATGCTTTCTGGGTCAGATGATAATTAAATCAGTTTTTTATTAATAGCTTTGGAAAGTTACTCTGAAAAGTTACTCCAGTGCTTCTCATTTAGTAGGAAGGAGTGTACAAATCAACAGAGCTGATAGTGTGTTACAGTTGGTTAGAGTTGTGCGTTTCAGCATACTCCATTTCTTCCAACACAAGATCAGGTTTTGAATACAGAAAAATGAATATATTTTTCACAATTCTAACTCATCAACTAACATATTCTTAGTTTAGGCTAGGATTTTCAAAAATGTCCATGAAGGATTTGGTCACACATCTCACCTGATTCAGTGTTGCCGAGGAAGTATAACCTTTCCAGGCACTTTTGAGAACACAGAGTAGATTTTTGTAATGAAACATTTGCCTTACGTAAAAGCTGAATGGAACACAAGGGCTATCCGTCTGTAATGGATCTGACAGGAACGCTGCTCTTCTTGGATTTGTGCAGGTTACTATATAATGTTAATTTAAAATGCTTGACAATGTTTGCATTATTTCCATAGAACATGAGAATATTGAGCTAACTATTCAATGTATGATATTTTAGTAAAGTATTTTGTTACCACAGTTTTGTGTGTTCACTTATCTTTTCGGTTGTGAATGTATTAACATTTTGGGATGTAGTCAAGTTAGGAGGCTTGCTCTTTTTCCAGTTAAAATGAATAGAATTATAGAATCATAGAATCATTTAGGTTGGAAAGGACCTTTAAGATCATCAAGTCCAACCGTTAACCTAGCACCGCCAAGTCCACCACTAAACCATGTCCCCAAGCGCCTCATCTACACGTCTTTTAAATACCTCCAGGGATGGGGACTCAACCACTTCCCTGGGCAGCCTGC